ATGTTGGGGCTGTATGGTGTCGCTGTCTCAAAATGAGCAATTTGAAAATTATTGTAAGTCATGTTTTTGAGTGATCCTGTGAAACTGAATGCATCCAAAAAGCGGTGTATTTATATAGGGCCCAAAGAGAAAAACTTTTAAATTACTGGGTCAAGTATTTTTTCCCCTCTTGTCACGCGAAGTTTCGTGGGCAAAGGTAAATTCCGCAAAGAGCTTGAATTTTTTTAACGTGGTCAGACGAAGGCGAACAAGCTATAGATCTAGTATAACCTAACCATGTGCTCATACGTCCCCCAGACGGGAATCGAACTCATGTGTCTTGCGTGTGGCGGCGAAGCGCGTACCCACTACACTACACCCCAGGCGCCGGTTCGTCCACGATGCAACTCAGTCTGAACTCTGATAACAGTTGTCCTGTTCGTTGACGCCCTCTCACGCAGTGATCTTGTGTTCAATATGCTTTGCTGTTGGATCACGTACAGACCTGTTGTCTGAATGTGATCTTCACTTGTTGACAGTCTGCTGATAGGAACGTTTTCTTTTTTCTTTAGTTCTGTTTTAGCAAAAGTTTTACTGCCCTTGCAACGCAATAAGGTCATAACACTATAAATCTAATATAATAATGCCACTCATCCCGATTTTATCGTTATATCCCTTTTTTTTGCCTCAATTCTCAAGCATCCTGATTTTCCCTATTTCTGTCGCGCGTATCCCGATTTTTTTGTGCCGCCTGTTGCGCTGGATTTGTCTAAAAACTTACTCTGCCTTCTTCTCTGTCGCGGGAAGCACCCCGTTAAACTTTTTGTCAGCAGGAACTGGGAGCCATATTTTCCGAAACATGATGGATGCTGGTTTTAGGAGTTGACTCGCCCCAAGTTGTGTTGGATCTGTGCTTGCACGTGTTATTTCAACTATAATGGAACGAGTATCGATTTGACTTTCCGACTTGGGACATTCTCAAGATCTACCATTCAGAATTCTACGATGATGGTCTGATTACCGTTTCAATTGCGACATATAACATTTATGATCAATATTTTTTACAGTTCTACTGTTACTGCCAAAACAAGCTTTCTCTAAGTTTGGTTAGCTGGGCTCGCCATCAAGAATGTCAGTAACACTGTTTGTTCGTTCGTTCGCACCGCGTGACATGACCTCGGCGTGTGAGTTTTTCGTGTATCGGGGACCGTCCGTTGACGGGGTCAACTAAAGTTCATGCACACTGGTTGAAGCGTCTTTCGAGACTTACGAGGAAGGGGGGGTGGTAGACACTTGGACTGAGAGTCCTTGACGTGATACTTCAGGATTTTAAAAAATATGATAATGCTCACACGTACATGCGCATGCATGCACGGGAGTATATTTTTGGACACCGTCGAAAATGTTTTAGTCAGCTTGGCACTCGCCTTTGTTATTTGTCGCCAATCCCGATTCTTTTCACCAAGCCCCCCCCCCAAAAAAAACCCAAAAACAAACAATAAATAAAAAAAATAAAATAATCCTGGTTGTTTGATTTCATAGAGTGTCAGGTCTGTTATTATGTGCTGAAGATTAGAGGTGTTGCAAGAGATTAACAAACAAACAACAAATAAAAAGGGAGAAGGAAAGCTACAGACGATAGACATTTGATAGGAAAGCAGGAGCAAACCACACCAGAACACCCGCCAACCACCCACGAACAATTTCTAACCTGATATTAACTCTTTAGGATGTAGCTGACACATGACAAGATGTGTCGTGACGCTATGAAATCAGGCACTCGTCAGTTTTAGTAGGCGTCTCTCTCTCTCTCTCTCTCTCTCTCTCTCTCTCTCTCTCTCTCTCTCTCTCACTCTCTCTCTCTCTCTCTGTGTGTGTGTGTGTGTGTGTATGTGTGTGAAAATACTTCCATTCCCGGATCTCTTTCTAACACCGTCTACAGATTTGAAACGAGACACACTATGCTATTTCAGGGGGTACTCCAGTACAGTCGAACCTGCTCTGACAGCCAATCTTCGGCACTTACATGACCTACTAAATTGCAAACGCAATAAAACGCTTACTAAAACATACACGTATTAAGTTGTACTCTTATTATTTTTCCAAGTCCTTCACTTTTCAAATAACTTTGTGTGTCGTTTTGTAGCCAGGAAGTTATCTTGTATCTAGAAATAAACGCAAAAAGGCAACAAAAAATACAGCTGTTTTTTAATGGATTGAGTAACGGCTCTCTCATCATAATGCAATTGTCAAACAAAAGTGTAACACATTTTCTTTTAAATTGATGGGGGAAAAGCACAACAAAGTTTTTTCCTACTCATATTATTATCACATAAGATATGTAGATCTAGTAGTCAGGTGTTTATCACATGAGCGTTTTTTAACCACAGAGGGGATGATTAAGCATTTTAAAAATCTTTTAAAAGTAAAGCTGCGTTCAAGTTATCTGCAGATAGTATTTGCTACCATAGGTAACTGTCGGCTAATAAATTGAAGTTTTTCAGAGACACGTTTGATTCAAAATTTGGGGTTTCTTTTCAGTTAACAAAATTGAAGTGAGTGATATATTGTTTGCGAAGTGATTTCGATCAGGAAAAAGTTTACGTTTCTGGTGGTAGTTCTGTCTATGGGAATTTGTTTGTTTGAGTAAATAGAAGCACATCGGCACAATAATGGTCATTTAGTGCAGGCAACAAGTAAGACAGACAGACGGACAGAAAACTGCAGAAAGACGTAATAATGATAGATGGCATTTATTGTGTAAATTCCTACTCGACAGCAAGCTATGTACGATTACAATATTACCACAGCAGACCTGATAGCATTCTGAAACAATCTCAGCTCCCTGGGAAGGTGTGAAGGATCCATCAGTGGCGCCCTCTAACCACCTGCTCTATGGTGGGGATACCTGGGTGTATGTTGTCTGGTGAAAAAAAAACGAAGGGAAAAGTCTCACAACAACTGCATGGATTTTTATTTACGCGAGTGCTTATGAATTTTAGTGAACCTCTTTTGAGACAAGTGTTTCTGACATGGAGTAAGCCAGCTTTTTATCTAGTTGTGGGGTAAATCTGGGCAGGTTATTCTGTGCTGTTTTTTGTTTATTTAGATCTAGACGTATTCATTTTTAAAATAATTTGATCTATGTTTGAGGATATTGTGCTGATGTGAAAGGCTCTCTTGATTGGATTCTTTTTGTTCATGTCATAAAAGTTATTGAACATTTAGTTGCCCTCAGTCTTCGCATGCTGAAGACGCAAATTCAATTCCTGTTTGGGGAGAACTTTTAATCAAATATCTCCATCTTTCTGCGGGGGCATCGTTTCCTTCTCGACCCAGATTGTCCCGGACAGGCGGGGTTTAAAGCAGCCTGCCTCTTAAATGATCTAAAGTGTTTGTAAAACATCTACAGAGACAACCTCAACCAGTCTTATATTTATAATATAGTTTTGCCAAGGAGGTTATCCGGTGTGAGTATTTGAGAAATTGAAATGACAACCGAAAAAGATGACTCTGATGTTTCCCGCTCTTCTAGGTAAGGGTTTGAAAAAGAGCTCTTTAATTTTTGTTTCTTTGAATCATTTATTCTTTCGTTCGTTCATTCATTCGCTCATTTATTTATTTATTTAGATGTGTAGTTATTTATTTATGTAGTTATCTATTTATTTGTATAGTTTTATTTTTTTGGGTGGGGTGGAACTCTGGATCCTAAGATGATGAGCTAACATTCTCTACAGCCACACATATCATCTTCACCCTTTTCTGCTTCTGTTCTGTCGCTCAAAGAATATTATTGTCCGAGATTGTGCTTTGATCTAGCATTTCTCTTTCTCAAATACTCACCCGAAGCTCGGCTCATTTCTTGAGACTGGTATTGGTATCTCTCTTGATCTTGTGGTTTACTCTTTTGCTTCATTTGGTCTTGGTCGAAGCGGAGAAGGGTTTAACCGCTCCATGTCAACCCAAGCGTTACTAAGACAAGTGCACACATGTAATCTGTTTGTGGTTGGTGGGTGCTCTGGTGTGGTTTGCTCCTTCTTTCCTGTCAACCATCTATCATCCTGACCTCTCCCCCTTTTTTGTGTTTGTTACCCTTTTGTAATATTTCTAATCTTCAACACTTATATGACCATATTGTGTTGCAAGTGCCATAAAACTCGTACTAAAATCAGACAATTTGAGTGCTATATCTCCCTTAAACTCAGCTTATATTTTGAGACGTGTGGTGGTATCTCTTTTATCATCTGTTCCTTCTTTTTCTTCTCATTTCTTTTATCGTCGGTTTCCTGGTGAAATGTGGGCTTCTATCTATTTGATGGCTTGCTCCTACATGTTACACTCTGGTAACTCATCTTACCCTCTGGTGATACATCATATATCCAACACTTATACAACATGTTTGTGTTGCAGGTGCCACAAGACTCTTACTATATTTTTTTTTTAACCCAGATGAGATGGTCTTCAAAGTCTTGATGGAAGCGGAGAAGGGTGTAGCCGCCCCATGTTAGCCCATGAGTCTTTGAGAAAACCGCACAACATGGCACTTTTAGGAAGTGGATGGTTGGCGGGTGCTCTGGTGTGATTTGCTCCTTCCTTCCTGTCGAAAATCTGTTGTCGTGATTTCTCCTTTTTTGTGTTTGTTACTCTCTTGTAGCAATTTAAATCTTTGGCACTTATGACCTTATTGTGTTGCAAGTGCCATAAAATACTAAAACAAGCACTTTAAGGAGGATTAAAAAAACAAACATGTATGAGAATCAGAATGGGGCTCCAACTGCCTGTTTTAAAGGCTGACAGTACGGGATCAATGACTTTGTTCAAGGCAAAAGGAAGGCTAAGATAAAGATGAATCAAGAGCACAATATAAAGGCTATCCAGAGAGCAGCAACACACTTGGCCCACGTCCAACAATTGCACCTCTTGACACTTTGAGATATAAGTAAGAGGACAGAAAAAGTAAGTAATGTAAATTTAAAAAAAAGATACACCATCATGTGCATCAATTTTTTTTTCTCCAACAGTTTGCAACGTCATGATCTCTTGTCAGTGACATCTCCATTTTCAAACGACAGGGAGCAAGAGAAGATGGATGGTAAAGAGGACGAACCACTTTTGCCTCAGGACAAAGAAGAAACCAGTTGTGAGTTAATTACAATGTACCTAAATAAGATAGTTTCAGAACCAAAGGAGAGTGGGGACTTGGAGTTCCCCCTTACAGTCAAATTTGTTTTTTGGGGTGGATGGAGGGTTGCTGCATTATATAACAGTACTAAACACAATTTCTTCAAAGCTGAGAAGCGTGCTCTAGTTTTCGAGTCTCATCTCTACATGTTTTTACTATCACTGTGTTATTTTGTCTGTGTTGCTTGTATAATTATCTAATGCCCCACTTGGAACTACAGTTAAACCTTCGATAAAATAACATCCTGGTTAAAAGACAATCACCCGTACAAACGATCTCTTCCCACCCCACCCCCACAAGTTGTTTTATTTTTACATTATAATGATACTGTGCAAGATGGCCACTTTTCTTCTAAACTACAGATTGCACAGTCTAAGACAATTTTGTCTGTACGTCAAGCTATGAGTATGAAAATTTTGACCTTTTGAGGCGGCAAAAGTGGGCTCTAGGTATAAAAATAAAAAGGCTGGAAAGCACTGATTTAGATTAGGGAAGGAGGATACAGTGGAAACCATTAGGCCCGGTAATAACTGGGATCCGGTAATAACAGGGATTATTATAATCCCCGTTTTTCGTACTCTTTGTCTCTATTAAAAGTTATCAGCAATAACAGGGCCTAATCGGAGCCCAACCGGTTATAGCAGGGACAAAGGCTCATTAACAATGTGTATAAGAGAGAGAGAGAGAGAGAGAGAGAGAGAGAGAGAGAGAGTAACGCAGTGATGGAGCAAGCCCACTCAAGCCATGCCACTGCGAGCACACGCAGCGTGTGAAGCGAGAGAGGGCTGCGGTGTGCTGCAGTCCTCGATCTAGCCCGAAACCTAGCAAGACGCACGCGTAATGTGTCACCAACGATGTCAAGCGCAAGAGAAAATGCCTTTTAATTGACAAAAAATACGAAACAATCCAGGCTGTTAACAAAAAGCGAGCTCCGCTAGCTGAGATTTTGTCGTCAGTTCGACATTCCACAAGGGTCGATTCACATCATTATCAAGGATAGAGAGTAGATAGTGGCAGCATACTCCAATGGAAAGTTTGCTCTGGATCGAAAGAAGATGAGACTACCCGATGTAGATGCTGTGGATCAAGCTCTTCTGATGTGGTTTAAGGAGGCAAGGAGAAAGTTGGTGCCAAAACCCCTGTTCTTGGGTACAGCTGGATTAGTTCCCAAATGCTTACTTTCCTTGCATTTCTGATTTAACAGGGATCGGATATAACAGGACATTTTCTCTACTCCCACCATCCCTGTTATATCAAGTTTCCACTGTATATATTGCTAAAAAATTCCTTTGCATTAGAAGCATTTTGAATACGTATTGGTCTGACCTAGTTGTATTTCTTTTTTTTTTTAAACTCTTAACCTTCCCTCTGTTTTTTTTCTGTTTACCTGACTTTCTTTTTCTCAAAACAGAGATAGCAGGTGGGTGGTTGGCGGGTGCCCTGAAATGGTTTGCTCCTTCTTTCCTATCAAACCTCTATCATCCCTATCTATCCTTTTTTGCGTTTGTTACTCTCTTTTGACTCTTCTAATCTTTGTCACTTATGTGACCTCTTGTGTTGCAAGTGCCATAAAACTTGTACTAAAACGAAACATAACACAAGCCTGTCATGGATACATAATATATTGAAGTTATTTACTGAGTTTCTCTCCATTGTTGAAATGTTTAGTTCTTTTATGTTAATGAAAAAGTAACAAAATTGCTCTTAATGTTTGTTGTTGTTTGCAATGCTGCTATGTCATAGAGTTACACTCTATAAAAAAATTTAAAAAATTAAAATGGAAAAAGAAAAAGGTAAGCTTTAGGGAATTTTTTACATTTTGTTGGTTTCATGTAAAGTTATTCTCTCAGCACTACAATCTGTTTTTCTCTCCTCCTTTTAAAGGGAAAAGGAATCTGTGCAGTGTCTGTATGTGCAAGAGTGGGAATAAATTAATGTGTACACGTGTATCTATGTGTGTGTGTGTGTGTGTGTGTGTGTGTTTGTGGCGGGGGGGGGGGGGGGGGAGGTGATACCAAAGTTGTAGTATTCACAAGGGTTATGGTTATGCTACTGGTGACTAAAAATAATAAAACCTCCTACCCCCACGTCGCTCTCTTCCTTAGTGGTTTCTAGGTTTGCTTGTATTTTTCTTTCATGGGACTTATTATATTTTGTTTCAAATGTGATATATCGTAAGTTTTTCCTTTCTCATGTTATAAGTAGTCTTCACCCACACCTCTCTTTATTTCTGTCACTGGTGTTTGTAACTGGTTTTCTTTTCTTAGACAAATTTCCTGAAGCATCATAAATATATAGTAATGGTGGCTGGAGTGTGCTCTGGTGCGGTTTGCTGCTTCTCACCTGTCCTATCATACATGTATGTATTGTATGATCCTTATCTCTCCTTCCTTTGTTCGTAGATTTCTTGCAAAACCTCTAATCTTCGGCAAATATGTGACCTATTTAGGTTTCATGTCCGCAACACTCTTACTAAAACTAAACCTAAATGTTATAGTGGTATTAAAGTCTGAAAGAAGAGAGATTTAATTAAGGAAATCTGTAGGAAATTTTCACTTCTATCGTTTTGAACAGAAATAGGCTGTTTCAATTGTCTGTCTCTCAGTGTTACAAATACATACTCATCATACTGGTCCTGGCTTCCATCATTTTTAAAACGAAGTGACTATTTCCAGTGACATTGGGGATAGGTACAGAAACTATTCCCAGTGACAACGGAACTTTTTTGCATTAAAAAACCAGAACTTTTTTGCTTTGTAGACCACTTAGAATTCTGTGTTGTAGGCTTTCTTCTCCCTTCAGTTCAGTACATTTGGTCTCTTCTCTTACTTAGGGCTTAGACTCGACTGTTGAATAGATCTAGATCTAGATTAGATCTATAAGAAAGAAGAATCGGAAAGGATTTCTACCTGTCCTGTACCGGGGTCTCCAAAATCCGTATATGTAGATCTAGATCTACACGTACATTTAAGTTACGACTGAATAACAAGCAAGCATAGAATTATCATTCCTTTTTCTTTAAAAAAAATTCTTCCGCTCACACCAGAATCTACTTTCAGTTTATTTAGATCTAGTCTAGTATTTAGTAACTCATCACCATCTTGCCCATGTAGATCAGTGTGGGAACAATAGATCTAATGGGCCTGTCTGTTCTCAGTGTCACTGGGAATAGTTTCTGGGCCTTTCCCCAGTGTCACTGGGAATAGTGCTTTCCTGTTTTAAATGCCTGATTTGGCCTTGTAATATTAAACGAAACCCTTTCAACGTTGAGAAAGGTGCTCAATTTTCAATAACAAATTGATGAATTAAATTCTCTTTGATAATTAACTACCTCCACTTACATTGTTCTGTCGTTTTCTGTCTTTAGATATGAATTGTACGAAGGATTTTGACTGTCAGTTATTTTGTTTTTTGGATATATTTTTTAAAGATGTATGTGTTTTTACACCTCTGTCAACATAATTTAGATAATTTAAAAGGAGGGTTTCCGATCGTGTTTGTCAGAGCCAACCTGGGTTGAAAGGGATACAACATCGCCCAGCAATAAAAACGAGATACTCGATAACAATCTTTCGCCCCACTTGAGAATTGAACTCAGGTTTATTGCAAGGGGCAGCGAAGTGCCAGACCACTACACCACAGTCATTGGTGGTTAGAAGTTATTTGATGCCCAGGTGGGATGGTTAGTTAGTTGGGTTTTTTTGTTAGTTTTTTTTTTCGGGGGGAGGGGGGGGGGGGGGTCAGCTACCTCCATCTGTCTGCTGAAATTTTGTATCCCACTTAAAAGACCTTGACAACCAGGGTTGAAACAAGCTTGCCGTTTAGATTATTTAGTTTGTTGTTAAACCGGGCATAAACATTAACATTGCACGTATGATATATTATCATTATTTTTATTATTATGTTATTGTCGCTTATTTTATTAGTTAATTTTATTATTGTTCCTATTATTTTAGATGTATTAGTATCACTATTATTGCTATATTTGTTGCAATAATAATTATTGCTTTTATTTTTTATTGTTAGTAGTAGTAACAGCAGCAGCAGCATTATTAACAGCACTAGCATTTTTTCTCTTTTTTTTATTATTATAGTTATTAGTATTATTAATATTGTCATTATTATCATTATCATTATTGTTATCATAATTCTGCCTCTGCTCCCCTTGCAGCTTCTGGTTGTTGCGAGCCGTGGTGGAGACATGTCCGGCCCTACAGCTTGTACGTGCTCCTTGTGCTGCTCCTGGCCTACCTGTTCAACCAGCTTGACCGCTACATGCTGGCCATCACCATCACCCCCCTGGCCCAGGAGGTCCAGTTTGGGGACAAGGCCTGCTTTGTCAACAAGTCGGTGCCCGATTACGGGGAGCCCCTGGCGTGTAACGGGACGGATATGATGCAGTGAGTAGAGTGCGCTCATATGACTTTATGCAGTTGCGGGCGTCGTAAAACCTTACTTTAAAAAAAAAAGAATAGATTGTCTGACTGGTGGCATGATTTTGTCTTTGTTAACCGCAGCTTTCTAAGTTTTTGTCAGCCAGCTGTTTAAATGTGAGAAGCTCAAAATTTTTATTTTAAAAAGTGGTGGCAAATTCTTCTTAATTTCTGGTATCGGTTGCATTCACTCATGAAATATTTAGTCGAAATTCAAATTCTAAATGTTAAAATAAAGAAGAAGAATAAAATACATAGTATTTAGGTAAATTGGTAAAATTTGTAAGAGAACTGAAACAATTTGTTTTCTCCCCCGAAAAATTGGCTCTCTTGCCCTTATTTTTGTTGTTGTTATTTTGAGAACAATTTTTTTTAAAATAGTGCTTGTCTTAGTTAGCCTTATGACTTGAACAAAATAAAAATATCTCAATAATTGGAATTTCAGTACTCAATGCGAAGTCCTTGCTGATTTGACAATACGAAAAAAGAAGGAACATATACTTTCACCTTATCGATAACCAGCGACAGACAGCCTGATCTTAGGCCCACTTGTCCAAGACAGTTACTTTTTCAAAAGACCACTTCTCACTTTCCCCTCGTTTTGTTTTGTTTCTTTTTTACCATGATGACACCGTCTTAAGCTGGCATTCCATATGCCCGAAAAACCGGTGCGAAATTCGCTTGCGATGAAAAAAGAGCCCTCCTTCCATATACCCGAAATTCATATCCGTCATCTGACTGAAATCAAGGCACCAGTTGAGTCAGAGCAAGCACTCTACGTTGAAAACAAGAGAATTTTGCTGTTAAAACTCCTGTTCCTACGAAAGCAGGCTTTAAATTGCTTTGTCCAGACTTGATGAGGGCCTTTCCTTCATAAGCTTTGCTTTCTTGGGTCGTTTCCTTTTCGAAGCTTCAGTCCTATCACCGACAGCGCTGGCTAAGGTGGCTGCGGCACAGACAGCAATCTTAAGTTATAATAATGTATCGTACACGAAATTCGCGTACGATGAAAAAAGAGCCCTCCTTCCATATACCCGAAATTCATATCCGTCATCTGACTGAAATCAAGGCACCAGGGGGGGGGGGGGAGGTGATACCAAGTTGTAGTATTCACAAGGTTATGGTTATGCTACTGGTGACTAAAAATAATAAAACCTCCTACCCCACGTCGCTCTCTTCCTTAGTGGTTTCTAGGTTTGCTTGTATTTTTCTTTCATGGGACTTATTATATTTTGTTTCAAATGTGATATATCGTAAGTTTTTCCTTTCTCATGTTATAAGTAGTCTTCACCCACACCTCTCTTTATTTCTGTCACTGGTGTTTGTAACTGGTTTTCTTTTCTTAGACAAATTTCCTGAAGCATCATAAATATATAGTAATGGTGGCTGGAGTGTGCTCTGGTGCGGTTTGCTGCTTCTCACCTGTCCTATCATACATGTATGTATTGTATGATCCTTATCTCTCCTTCCTTTGTTCGTAGATTTCTTGCAAAACCTCTAATCTTCGGCAAATATGTGACCTATTTAGGTTTCATGTCCGCAACACTCTTACTAAAACTAAACCTAAATGTTATAGTGGTATTAAAGTCTGAAAGAAGAGAGATTTAATTAAGGAAATCTGTAGGAAATTTTCACTTCTATCGTTTTGAACAGAAATAGGCTGTTTCAATTGTCTGTCTCTCAGTGTTACAAATACATACTCATCATACTGGTCCTGGCTTCCATCATTTTTAAAACGAAGTGACTATTTCCAGTGACATTGGGGATAGGTACAGAAACTATTCCCAGTGACAACGGAACTTTTTTGCATTAAAAAACCAGAACTTTTTTGCTTTGTAGACCACTTAGAATTCTGTGTTGTAGGCTTTCTTCTCCCTTCAGTTCAGTACATTTGGTCTCTTCTCTTACTTAGGGCTTAGACTCGACTGTTGAATAGATCTAGATCTAGATTAGATCTATAAGAAAGAAGAATCGGAAAGGATTTCTACCTGTCCTGTACCGGGGTCTCCAAAATCCGTATATGTAGATCTAGATCTACACGTACATTTAAGTTACGACTGAATAACAAGCAAGCATAGAATTATCATTCCTTTTTCTTTAAAAAAAATTCTTCCGCTCACACCAGAATCTACTTTCAGTTTATTTAGATCTAGTCTAGTATTTAGTAACTCATCACCATCTTGCCCATGTAGATCAGTGTGGGAACAATAGATCTAATGGGCCTGTCTGTTCTCAGTGTCACTGGGAATAGTTTCTGGGCCTTTCCCCAGTGTCACTGGGAATAGTGCTTTCCTGTTTTAAATGCCTGATTTGGCCTTGTAATATTAAACGAAACCCTTTCAACGTTGAGAAAGGTGCTCAATTTTCAATAACAAATTGATGAATTAAATTCTCTTTGATAATTAACTACCTCCACTTACATTGTTCTGTCGTTTTCTGTCTTTAGATATGAATTGTACGAAGGATTTTGACTGTCAGTTATTTTGTTTTTTGGATATATTTTTTAAAGATGTATGTGTTTTTACACCTCTGTCAACATAATTTAGATAATTTAAAAGGAGGGTTTCCGATCGTGTTTGTCAGAGCCAACCTGGGTTGAAAGGGATACAACATCGCCCAGCAATAAAAACGAGATACTCGATAACAATCTTTCGCCCCACTTGAGAATTGAACTCAGGTTTATTGCAAGGGGCAGCGAAGTGCCAGACCACTACACCACAGTCATTGGTGGTTAGAAGTTATTTGATGCCCAGGTGGGATGGTTAGTTAGTTGGGTTTTTTTGTTAGTTTTTTTTTTCGGGGGGGGGGGGGGGGGGGTTCAGCTACCTCCATCTGTCTGCTGAAATTTTGTATCCAACTTAAAAGACCCTGACAACCAGGGTTGAAACAGCTTGCCGTTTAGATTATTTAGTTTGTGTTAAACCGGGCATAAAACATTAACATTGCACGTATGATATATTATCATTATTTTTATTATTATTGTTATTGTCGCTTATTTTATTAGTTAATTTTATTATTGTTCCTATTATTTTAGATGTATTAGTATCACTATTATTGCTATATTTGTTGCAATAATAATTATTGCTTTTATTTTTTATTGTTAGTAGTAGTAACAGCAGCAGCAGCATTATTAACAGCACTAGCATTTTTTCTCTTATTTTTATTATTATAGTTATTAGTATTATTAATATTGTCATTATTATCATTATCATTATTGTTATCATAATTCTGCCTCTGCTCCCCTTGCAGCTTCTGGTTGTTGCGAGCCGTGGTGGAGACATGTCCGGCCCTACAGCTTGTACGTGCTCCTTGTGCTGCTCCTGGCCTACCTGTTCAACCAGCTTGACCGCTACATGCTGGCCATCACCATCACCCCCCTGGCCCAGGAGGTCCAGTTTGGGGACAAGGCCTGCTTTGTCAACAAGTCGGTGCCCGATTACGGGGAGCCCCTGGCGTGTAACGGGACGGATATGATGCAGTGAGTAGAGTGCGCTCATATGACTTTATGCAGTTGCGGGCGTCGTAAAACCTTACTTTAAAAAAAAAAGAATAGATTGTCTGACTGGTGGCATGATTTTGTCTTTGTTAACCGCAGCTTTCTAAGTTTTTGTCAGCCAGCTGTTTAAATGTGAGAAGCTCAAAATTTTTATTTTAAAAAGTGGTGGCAAATTCTTCTTAATTTCTGGTATCGGTTGCATTCACTCATGAAATATTTAGTCGAAATTCAAATTCTAAATGTTAAAATAAAGAAGAAGAATAAAATACATAGTATTTAGGTAAATTGGTAAAATTTGTAAGAGAACTGAAACAATTTGTTTTCTCCCCCGAAAAATTGGCTCTCTTGCCCTTATTTTTGTTGTTGTTATTTTGAGAACAATTTTTTTTAAAATAGTGCTTGTCTTAGTTAGCCTTATGACTTGAACAAAATAAAAATATCTCAATAATTGGAATTTCAGTACTCAATGCGAAGTCCTTGCTGATTTGACAATACGAAAAAAGAAGGAACATATACTTTCACCTTATCGATAACCAGCGACAGACAGCCTGATCTTAGGCCCACTTGTCCAAGACAGTTACTTTTTCAAAAGACCACTTCTCACTTTCCCCTCGTTTTGTTTTGTTTCTTTTTTACCATGATGACACCGTCTTAAGCTGGCATTCCATATGCCCGAAAAACCGGTGCGAAATTCGCTTGCGATGAAAAAAGAGCCCTCCTTCCATATACCCGAAATTCATATCCGTCATCTGACTGAAATCAAGGCACCAGTTGAGTCAGAGCAAGCACTCTACGTTGAAAACAAGAGAATTTTGCTGTTAAAACTCCTGTTCCTACGAAAGCAGGCTTTAAATTGCTTTGTCCAGACTTGATGAGGGCCTTTCCTTCATAAGCTTTGCTTTCTTGGGTCGTTTCCTTTTCGAAGCTTCAGTCCTATCACCGACAGCGCTGGCTAAGGTGGCTGCGGCACAGACAGCAATCTTAAGTTATAATAATGTATCGTACACGAAATTCGCGTACGATGAAAAAAGAGCCCTCCTTCCATATACCCGAAATTCATATCCGTCATCTGACTGAAATCAAGGCACTAGTTCAGTCAGAGCAAGCACTCTACGTTGAAAACGAGAATTTTGCTGTTAAAACTCCTGTTCCTACGAAAGCAGGCTTTAAATTGCTTTGTCCAGACTTGATGAGGGCCTTTCCTTCATAAGCTTTCCCTTCTTGGGTCATTTCCTTTTTGAAGCTTCGGTCCTATCACCGACAGCGCTGGCTAAGGTGGCTGCGGCACAGACAGCAATCTTAAGTTATAATAATGTATGTTAGAAGTTATATTCAAGTGCATTTAAGGGGGGGGGGGGGTAAGTGAAATGCTATTTTCTTGTCATTATATGATTTAAACGATAAATGATAGCATAGATATATCTAGATCTAGATTACATAGACTCCTGAAAGTTTCCCACAAGCTTAAGAAAAAGTGGTTGCCAAGGAAATGGCAGCCACCTTGAACATAAACACCTCTTTTCAGTCTTAGTTTTAACACTTCTCTCTCGAACCAAGGAAATCAACATATCGACGTTTTCCCCACTTACCTAGTGCTTCTATGCTGCTTCGTTCCTTTGAAGTAGATTTGGCGGGAAATAAGCCCCGCCCACTTCACGAAGAATTCGGGTGCGTAAGAAAAAAGTTTCGCTCCCTCGTGCGAAACAAAATCCACGCATGCAAATTTCGGATTCTGCCATGCGAAATTCCGGTATATGAGTTTACACAATGACAAAAAGGTTGGTGCGAAAAAATAGTTTGCACTCGAAATTCGCACCCGAAATTCGCATCGGTTTTTCGGGCATATGGAATGTCAGCTTAAGACACCCACCTTTTCTATTGACCTTAGGTAGCCGTCTTGAACGGTTTCAACTGTATTGGGTTGTATTCATTTCGACTGCTTAGGGTAAGACTCCAACATACAGTTTTGAGAAATGACGTATAGCAGAGTCTTATACCGCGGGTGCAAGTTGCGCACATTAAAGGTCCCTTGGTGATCTAAAATCGATAAGAGTAGGCTTCGGCCGCCACCATGGCAAAATAAAAAATTTCCTACCTACTGAAAATGTTTAATGGGTCCCGTTCGCTCATATGACCTTATTCAGTTGCGAGCGCATTAAAACACTTACCAAAAAAAAACTGCCAAAAAAAGTCTATCACTAAGCAAACAATCTGTTTCATTGAGTGTTGTAATCCTCGCTTTTGTTTTTCCTCTGTCTTCCTTCAGGTGTGAATCGGTTCTCAACCCAAATGGAACTGAGTACTGCCGTTGGGATTACAATGGCCAGGGCTGGGATTATCAGATCCTGGCTGGACCTGTCTTTATTCTCATCTACACGTTTTCTGGAATCTTCATTGGCTTCGCTGCAGACCAGTACAACCGTAAACTGCTGCTGGCTTTCTGCCTGGCCTTCTGGTCAGCCATGACATTACTCACAGGTTTTGTGAAAGAGTACTGGCAGCTAGCTATCCTCAGGTTCGCTCTCGGACTTGGGTGAGTTTTCTTTTTTTTTTCCTCCCTCTTTTTATGCTTTACTTTGAATGCATGTGAGGCATCGTTGTGAAATCCAGCACTCTTCTAAATAATGAAATCAAAGAAATTGACATTTTTCTGCCTGTTGAGGTATTTTTTTTCAATTCCTTACTGGAGAGAATGTTTATCTGGTTTCTCATTTTTTGTCTGCTAGGAAGTCATTTATCCATCTCAGCTTGGGTTGGCTGTGACAGGCAGGGTCAAATCCCGCCTCATAATCCAAATTGTGTCGTTTAAATTTTAGGAGTTGATGGACCAAAGATCGACCCCCGAGTGTGGAATGTTTTTGCTTGGGTTCCTGGGGAAGGTTTCAAAGCTAGTCAACCTCGTGGCTTGTCTTGTTTGAGGGGGATTGAATGCTATGCCCCTCCCCCGGGACGCCGCTTGGCGATGGTGGGATTTAGCATGTACTGTCCATTTTTCTTCGGACACGAGGTAACCCCCTCCTCCTTTAATTATAAATATCTCGACTTCTGTTGTATTTTTGTCAAAATAAATGAAGAAACAAGGTAGGGGTAGAGTCAGAGCACCCTACCCGAAGAGCTTGAAGAGACAGATGATAAAGTGATACCAATAACTCTTTATGCCCAAAATGTGATGAGCACCTGACTCCAGCACATCGTAATTCATGTATGCTTCTTTTTTACTAAAATCTGTAACTTAACGTACCATTGTCTGTTCCGTTGGCAGAGAGGCGGGATGCACACCATTTGCCGCCTCCCTCATCGCAGATTATTTCACCGAGGCCACAAGAGGCACAGCACTAGGCATCTACAACTTTGGCATTTACTTTGGTTATGGGCTGGCGTATGCTGTGGGCAACTTCATCACTGTGGCAAATATCAATGGACAGGTAGAGTGAGATAATGATAGAGAGAGAGTGAGATAATGATAGAGAGAGAGTGAGATAATAAGAGAGAGAGGGGGGGGGAGAGAGATAGTGTGTAAGGGAAAAGAGAGGGGGCGATCCAGAGAGAGAGAGAGGTGAGTGCGTCCAAGAACAGAACAAGGGGGGGGGTGAGCAAGAGGGATGGAGAGAAAAAGTTGGGAGAGAGAGAGCTCAGATAAGGAGACAGTGGGTCATTGTTTTTGTGGCTCTTATAGTTAAGGCTATTGAACATAAACTACACTGTTATATACATGACATTACTTGTCTCTTCTGGGTTTTTTTCTTAATTCTGTGCCATTGTAACCTTGATAATGTAGAAAAGAAGTAACAAGCCACACCGGAGAACCTATCAAACACCCACCAAAAAGATCAAGACTTATGAAATGGTGGTGGTAGGAGGGATGGAGGCTTTACTTTACCCTTTCTTGAGTACCAATAATGTTCCTCAGGGCTGGAGATGGGCGTTTATCCTTCCGGGGATCCCAGGCATAGCTCTGGGCGTCCTCATAGCTTTTACGGTTCGTGAACCGTCGAGAACTTCAAAATCTGGGGAGGCTCAGAGAGTTGGCGGTGTTGATGACAGGGAAACAACGAGGGGATCGGCTTGCTCACGTCTTCTGACGCTGCTCAAGAGTTTCACAAGCCCGTCTCTACTGCTTCTGTGTCTGGCGGGCTCCATAAGAAATGCTGGTAATGTGTTACTTGTTTGTTTGCTTGTCTGTTTATTTACTTTTTTGTGTGGGTGGTTGGTAGGTGATCTGGTATTGCTTGTTCCTTCTTTTCTATCACACAACTATCGTTCTTATCTCCCCTCCCTCCTTTTTTGTGTGTTTGTTGCTCTCTTGTAATACCTCTAATCTTCGGCGCATGTATATGACCTTGTTGTATTACACGTGCCGTAAAACGCTTACTGACAACAAGTAAAAGTACTTCTTTATTAGTGTGTACACTAAAAAGGGCAAGTGGGTGATTGGAGGGCATCGTTGGTAGGTTCTTACTTCTGTTCTTTCTTTCTGTTGTTTCTGTCTGTATGCCTTGCTTTTTTTCTTGGACCAGATAATCGTTATTGTGCTTGTCTTTACTCATTCACCAACACAGTCAAACGGAATACAGAACATCTGTTTTCTTGCTCTACCTGCAACAGACCATCAATGAGTTATCAACTACCCCTCCTCTTTGCTTTCTGTTTGATTTAGCACTATTCAAAACATTTGTTAACCTCTGTTAACTTGTGAAATTGAATAGAGAAATGTCTTCACAAATTGTTTGGGGGTTTCATGAAGAGTTTTTCGAATTTAATAAAAAGCATGTTCAGAGAAAAATGGCAAGTTTAGTTAATGAATCAAGGGTTGTTGCAGTGGTTTCTTTCCCTCAAGCACAAAACGTAAAGGTTGGAATCTCAAGAATGGTGGTGGGGGAGGGTGCCACTGATAGTCCTTCTTCTCTTGTTTTTCCTCCATCATTTGTGTCTCTCTGTCTTTTTTAAAATCCCCTCC